ACACACACACACACACACACACACATACACACACACACACATACATACATACACACACACGCACGCACGCACAAACACACGCACACACACACGCACACAAGTGTCGAACTTTGATCAGAGGGTTGTTGAAATCAGCTTATGCATTGAGGGCAATTTGAGACATACCACGTCTTCCATTGAAATTGATAAATTAATCATGTTTGTTGTCTTATGGATAGTATTTTGAGTTTTTTTGAATGTTGAAGTTCCAGCTGTTTGTCAATGTGCGCTCAGGTTAAATCGTTGCTATGACGCTCCCACCACTTTTTCTGTCTTTGCGTCTGTCTCTCTTCATATTATAGGGATCGTTCTCTACCTATTACCCTCTCTCTCTTTCTTTCTTTCTCTTCTCCTCTCCACCCACTCTCTCCCTGCTGTGTTCCTCTGTGTCCCACCATCTATTTCTTTGTATCTATCTATCTATCTATCTATCTATCTATCTATCTATCTATCTATTTATCTACCTATCTATCTATCTATCGATCTATCTCTGCCACTCTCTTCTTTCTGTTACTCTGTATCCATTCTCTCTCTGTACACTATCTCTCTTTTTGTCTCTCTGCCCTCCCCCCCCACTCTCTCTCTCTTTCTCTCTCTTTCTCTCACTCTCTCATTCTCCGCCCTTCGTCTCCACACATGCCTGTCTGAGTGTCTGTCAACCCCCACCCCTCACAATTGTTCGCCCCTATTTACGTATCCATCAAAACATCCCTGGAATCTACTCCCTCCACATTCCTCTAGCCACACTTCTTCAGGAAGTCTTTCACTACTCCCAGCCTCGTCTTCCACTTCTCTTTTCCTCTATCCGTCAACAGATATCTCTCCCTCTCCCCTGTCCCCCCACCTTCCTCCGTGTCCTTCTCTTTCTCCTTCTCCCTCACATCCTCCTCCGCCTTCTCCTCCCCCTCATCATCATCACGATCCTCATCCTCGTTATCTACACCATCGTCCACATAGTCATTATCATCACCGCCACTCCCACTCCCCTCCTCACTCCTCCCCTCCCCCTCCTCCTCCTCATCATCAGCGTTAATCTGCGCGCTTATCTTGCACCTCTCCTCCTCATCCATCTCTAGACTCCTGTTATCGAATTCATCATCGTCATCATAACCGGCTCGTCGTCGGTTGGCGACAGCTGACGACGACGATGATGATGTTGTCGTTGCTGTTGCTGCTGTCGCTGAGCCGATGATGAGGCTGCAGCTCTCGTTCAACGTGATCCGACTCAACCGCTTCAACCGCTCATTTTCTTCCTTCTCATCATCATCATCATCACCGCTGCGATCAACATCATCATACTCATCATCATCATCGTCGTCATCATCGTCAGAATGATTGACCCTGCGTCCTACGTCAGAACGTTTGTTATCCTTCTCGTTATCATCGTCGTCCTCCTCTTCCTCCTCCTCCTCTGACTCGGAGCCGGTGTTGAGAGAGGGGAGGTCATTATCTGGGAGCCAGTAGGACATGCTCCTTCACACAGCACAAGGCAACTCACACCACGGCGGGGTTCGAACCGGGACCACTCACTGTGACTCACTCCACCACGAAGCAAGCGAGCAAGCCCCACAACACCCCTCTACTACTGCTACTACTACTACCACTAGAACTTAACACCTCTGCCGTTGGTGCCAACAGACGGACATAATGATATATGTAGGTGTGGTCAAACTGTTCCTTGTTTCACTTGGGAAAATCTCCCACAAACACACACGCGCTGACAGATCCAGAGATATCATCAAACAACGCAAGGTTCGATGACGTCAAAGAGCCTACAGATCCAATGAAGTCAAAGTACACACAATCCAACGACGTCAAAGTACACACAATCCAGTGACGTCTAAGCGCACACACAGAATCCAATGAGGTCAAAGCGCACACAATTCTATGACGTTACAAGTGTTCTGTCTCACGCTTCACAAGTGTGTTCCCGCACTATACTGTAAAATGTGAACACACAACTTATCTTCAACGATCACGGAA